GATCGGAAATCAGTATTCACAAGTATGAGAGACAAAGGTGGCCTACAGATAGCTCAGTGGTCACTAAGGAGATCTGCAGAGCTACAGATTACTAACGCTGGCTTAACAAGAAAAATCACACGATTTTCCTATGCACGCCAAGAGCATGGATGGAGCAAACGCCCCTGCTGGCTATTTTATTCTGACAACTGGCACCTGTGACTGTCAGAATATATGAACAGTGATTGCAGCTGATTAGTTCGGTTAACAATTTCCCCTCCAATTCTTTTTTTTTTCAATTCTTTATTTATTATTCGGGAACATTAGGAGAATCCAAAGTATACAATTAACAAGAATGTACCAACAAGAACATTGGACAGCCACTCACCCAGCATTTGACAGATATACAGTACGTAAGAAATCCCAAACACCCATGAGTCCTGTGTACAATAGTGACTAAGCACTCTCTGTCCCTGATAATTTTCTTATGTTTTATTTCTAAATGGAAAGTACCTAAGAGAGTCAAGAACAATAACAGAGAAAACATTCTTACGTGTCAATCAAACTATGCAAGTTAACAACAAACTATCAGAGAAAAGAAGAAAAAAATGAATAGAAGTGACAGGGTGGGAAGCAGCAAAGAAGAAGGCAGGAAGAAGGGGGGAAAAGGAAAAAAAAAAAAGGGGGGACAGGGTTTTCATCCAATTCAATTGAAAAATTGACTTTTCTTGAGCTGGTTGGCGCCAGGAGGGCCACCAACGTATGGAATTTTAGCCAAGTAAGTGGGAAACAGTCAACATTCGATCCGAATATGGAGCTTAAGACCCCATTCACAATGAGCTACATCCAAAGAGCGATTTGGTGCTGAGCAACATTAAGCTACAGTGCACTTTTGTCACGCTACGTAGCGCGACTTTTCGCAGGGACTTCGTAGCTGCTACATTGGGCTGTAACCAATTAAAGGTCTTGATGTGACATCATTCTTTCCTTCTTATATTTATGTGCAAAAGTGACACTTCTGTAGCGCGGCAATGTCGCGCGACATTGAGCTACAACATTAAAGTCTTTTGGGCCAAGTCTCACAAAATCTGCCGAAAATTAGGTCATGCTACAAGCTTGAGCGAGGAGCTATAGGCGACATTGAGCTGTGAGATGTGAACAGCTCCATTGAAATGCATTGGACTAACTACATAGAGCTGCATTGAGCTGATTTTTGAGCGATTTTTGAGCTGAAATCGTGCGATAAATCGCTCAGTGTGAACGGGGTCTAAGGCCCCGTTCACACCTGACCGTTTTGTAGCGCGTCCTACGCCCGACGGACGCTCTACAAAACGGTCAAAAATATAAATTGCATTGTAGTCAATGCCCTCGTTCCCACCTAGGCGTATTTCCGCCCGTCCCTAACGCCCTACAAAACGGCCCACGCCTGAAAAGGTCCCGGGACTACTTTGGGCCGTTTTGTAGGGCGTTTTCCATTGGGATAAGCCAAGTAGCCTTTGGAATCGTGCGACGGTCGCGCGACTTTTTTACCGCGAATCGCGGTAAAAAAACCGCGTGACGGTCGCGCGACAGACGCGCATATTACAATACGCCTAGGTGTGAACCCAGGGTAAGTGGTGTCACCCTTTGGCTACATGGCATTTCATTGTGTATATCACAAACATGTTTGAAAAGAATTACAAATATTTTGGCAGGTGAAATAGTTCACATATTTAGATTTAAACGCAAATTTACTTCCATTGTATATTTAACTATCTTGCTTATAAACCTCCATCCAGCTGTTGATCATTTAGGTTTGAGTGTCTTTATAATGATCCTTCACTAAATTAGATTGCATTGTGCTTACATCTAAATGCGGCTTCTATTTTTATTCCAATGATTATTCCCTGGAGTTTCCTGGTATATGTCATATATGTGTATGAAGTAACCATTACAAAGTGAATGCTGTGTCAAGCTGTGACAGTTTTGCAGCAGTCCATGCAGTTATTTCCACGGGTGCCTCTTCCCTCTGAGGACTCATAAAGGAAGTAAGTCATTACACTAAGGTCCTTCACATGTGACCTTTCCGCTGTGGATACATGGTATTCCTTTCCCTTCCTTTGTTTGTCCCTGTGTGCTGTATCATGGATCTAAGGCTCCGCATACACAACTTAAGAAGTCAAACCTGTTTTAGGTGCAGAGGTCACAGATGAGCAAACTGCAGCTTTCTGTAAGTAACTTTTGGCAAACTTCACAGGAAGGCGGAAGAAATGTGTTTAAAGCAGAAGGGAGGGACTGGGGACAATGTCCAGAGCTCAGGTTGGGAATACAGCTCTCCTGATCACAGTCACCTTTCTTCTGTAACAAATATCTGTATGTATATTGTATGTGTGTGGTGCTGGTTGTTTGTACTATAGGGAAATAAGTATACATATTCTGGCTAATATGGGGTTTAGATGAATAGTAACTGCTGTATTGTTATTATAATATGATTATACCTATTGTAAATCGTTAGGCACTAAGCTTATTGCATATAGGCTGGTCACTGGTTGAGTTTGGTACATGATCAGAAATCTGCCTATAGATACATGTAGGAGCGTTCGCCAACTCAGGTGAATTCTATTTCTTTAAACAAATTATCAGCAAGCACAGAATGTGTTAATCTCACCTGCTGTGGCTTTCTTTTCCTGGTTTTTATCTATGATGATATGCAAATGCTTTCCGTAAAACCATATGCTGCATTAGAAGCAACAGGGAAGCGTTTTCTCTATTCTGTGGGAAATTACAAATATACCTAACAGGTTCTGCTATCTGCTGTGAAGCCCCCCTCCCCTCACTGTAACATAGATGGGTCTTCTCATCCCACAGTCCTTGTGAATACAGTAAACTCCCAGTTATCCGGTACCCTTGGGGAATGGTAGATGCCGGATAAGTGTAGTTTCTGGTTGCTTGAGAGTTACCATTAACTCTCAAGCAACATTGCACACGCAAAATACATTTAGTTGCTAACAAAAAAATTTAGTGTGCACATGTCTGTCAAGCAACTGGCATATTATGTCCTCAATTTATTTTTCTGGTTGCTTGAGAGTTCTGGATAATGGGAAGTTTACTGTACAGCAAAGGAACTGTCTATCCTGTTGTTTTTACAGTGCTTGATAGGCTGGAGTCTGCCCATATACCCACTGTGGGTTCTAAAGATTAAAATGATCATCAGCAGGTGACACCACTGACTCAATGTGGGAAGTATAGCTTCACGTTGTAGTGGTACATTTGTTAATGTAGTTCTGTGTTAAAGTGACTTTGAGATTGCAAATAAAAGCTGTCCTTGTAGAGAAGATAGTGAATACTTTTCTTTCCAGCTGTTCCACCACTAAACGTGAAAAAAAAAGTATTCTCCAGAGTCACTAACTTCTGATAGTGTTCCTGCCCCCCTCCTCACCCCCATACTCTGCGGTTCCTCTTGCTGACCCCTATGTAAGTTTAGGACACAGTATGATGTGGGAGGAACCATTGAGAGCAGCTGTGGTTGACTGAGGCTTCTGGGGCAAGCTGGCATTTGGTGGCATGGGCGGTAGAAGAGGTTAGTAACCCCGTTCTTCTTCACAATTTCAATCTATTAACAACATTGCTTTAAGTGGGAAAGGATTAGAACCTCTATATGTTGGGTAGAAGTGGTTTGAAAGAATAGTTACTTTTTAAAGTGGAAGTTAGAGCAAGTACATAATTTTGTTTGTTTATTAGGGAAGGGTTAAAAGCCTTGTCAGTGTTATTTTTATTTTTTTCTGTGTTGTTGGGAATATTTCCTTCACTTCCTGTACCAGAGACACAACATTGAGGGTCCATTCACACCAATTGCGGTGCTTTCCAGGGCGGCAGCTGCTGGAACGCACAGCAATTGCTCACAAAACTTCCCCCTTCGTTCTGGGGCGGGAGGGGTCGTGTCGGTGCATTAAAGTCAATGGCACTGCAGTCACGTCCCCCGTCCGCAGTGCGATCGGACGCGTGGTAAAACATTGTCTGAGTTTTGGTCCACTCCAAACGCATAAAATGTTGCATGCTCTATTAAAAAAAAATGTAAAGGGTTTTTAAGGCACCAGAACACACAATTGTCAAATCTTGATCATTTATTTTGTTTATTCCAAAGTAAAAAGCATTATTTCATGCTTTTTAACTATCAAACATGGGCAATTGTGTGTTCAGGTGCCTTAAAAACCCTTTACAATTTTTGCTTATGTAAGATCTTTGGGTTGTCACAGTAACAGGAGGCGAGGGGAGATCTTCCAAGTAAACCTGTTCTGGTGACAACAGTCTTAGAGAGGATAACTCACCACTTTGGAAAGATCTCCTCTTACTACAGGCCCATTCACACCATGTGTAAGTCAATACAGTGGGGTGTGGTACCATAGGGGAGAGGAGCCACTGATGCATTAAAAAAACCCAAAGATCTTGAATTTCTTATGACTTTCTGTCCTGATGTCAAAGGTCCCCATGATAAATAGGGCAAATTTCCCTGGTAGGGACACAGACTGTAATACAAACCTGACGTAGCTTCTAACTCTTGAAGTTTGACGGTTTACAGTACTGCCCCTTCCTCTTCCACATGTATTGGGCAGGGACCTACAAAAGGCTCATATAAAAACAGACTAAGGTATTATTTAAATACGTTTTAATAGGATGGTTTAAATGAATGCATAGCTGGGTAAATGGAGGTATGTTATATCTGCCTACTTTTGATTTAACACACCTACTTTGTTAATATCGATTGACTAATCTTTGTCACTCAAGAGTTAAATAAACAATTCCTTCTGCATTTTGTTCTTAACCGCAGTTTAAGGAAGTAGCCCGTAAGAAGAAGTAGCTGGTACTCAAGACTTTGTTTGACTTGTGAGACAGTTTGCAGCTCAAGATCAAGTAGTGCCCGATTTTAAATGAATGCTACTAAACCAAGTCTGGGTCGATCTGATGAGCTTGGACACAGCGATGGAAGAAGAGCTTTCACATTGGCAGGACATTAATAAACTTGCAGGGCCGATTAATCAGCCACAAAACAATAGCATGAAACAGACGAGTGGCTGTGAACAGCAAGAGCCTGCGATTCCTAAAATGCGAGACACAAGAAGCATGAAGAGGGTGCAAAGTCTAAGCAGGACTCCATCACCTGCTACAATAAGCAAAAGAAAAAGAGGCATAAGAGGGAGTCTGTGGAGCACAACTGGATCCCTGCCGTTTGTGGGAGCTTGGATCTCAGCAGCTACTTTTGATGTTGTCGATGGTGAGGAGCAGCAGCAGCAACTGGACTACGGGGAAAATGGCATAGTACTTGACCCGGTTGAGCATGCCTGGATGCTAATGGTAGCAGAAGGCAACTTTGATGAGCTGCAGGAGTCTTTACAGGAGGATCCTACTTTGCTTTATAAGAGAGATTTTGTGACTGGTTATTCTGTTATTCACTGGATAGCAAAACATGGCCATCATGAGGACCTAATACAACTTATGGATTTTGCCTCAGCCAGTGGCTACATCATAGATGTCAATACCCGTGCCAGCGGGGGATTAACTCCCCTCCATATTGCAGCTCTTCAGGGACATGCCATGGTCATCAAAGTACTGGTGGGTGCGTACAATGCAGATGTCCATATTCGGGACCATAATGGACGGAAAGCTTGGCAGTGTCTAAAGCCTGGTGCTGATAGCAAGCTTCTGATACTCTTGGGGGCTCCTGAAGAAGAGGAAACTGGTGCAATGGCTGCAAGGAATAACAATAATAACAGTCATGTAAACATACTTCGAAATATTGTGCCATGGGACAGTGATGAAACTGATTCTACTGCTAAAATGACAATGGCTGTAGCACCTATCAGGAACTTTTTTAAAAATGCCTATAGTTTTCTAAAAAAGTGGTAACTATTGGCATGCTGCAACACAATGGCATGAGCAATTTAGAATGAAATGACCTTTGCACTTGATTATGTAACAGCCCATCTTCAGCCAAAATTATTTTTATTTAGCTTTGGATAGAATAAAATGGGTTAGAGCCTGTCCGGGGGGGAAGAGTTTCCTACACTGTAGGTTTACATGCCATGAGTCATTTCAATAAATGACATTGGCACATTGACGGATATGGTGGGTTGAACACTGAATGTAGTTTTTTTGGTGTAATTATTTTTTCTGTTAATTATGACCGAATGTGCTCTACAGGTACTTGGATGGTGAGCACCTAATAATATATTTTGTGTTCTGAATAGGGACACCAATGACAATAAAAACCTAAATGGTTGTAATAATTTCCCTTCTAATCAAAAGAAAAAAAATGTTTTGGCTAGAGGTGGGCTTTAAGTAATATGATAAAAACAAGTGAGCAATGAGAATTATTTTGGAGTATAGCATTTAGTACAAAGTCTTATGAGAAGAGCTTTAGAAACAGAACCTTTAATGCAAAGGGTATGGCAGCTTAAAATTAGTTTTTGTTAGGAGAAAGCACATTGTACCCAAAAAAACATTATAAACAGTTTTTGATATAGTAAATGAGATGAAGGTGGAACATGCACCTCCATGTACATGCACCTCCATACATAAGGACTGAAGGCATGTTGATTTAATTTAACAGCAGTGAGGTTTGTAACATGGGTTATATTATATTTACTACTTGGAAAAAATAGATATTTTCTAAGAATATCCCCTAGGACTCCAGCTATGCCTTACAATAGGCTTTTGGGCAGGAACAAAAGTCATTATTGGAAACTTGTTATGGCAATCCAACCGGATGTTACTTTCAGTCTTTTTTCAGCTGTGATAAAAACTCACAGAAGAAGAAGCTATAGGTACATAGATCTTTTACATAGGATTCCATTCATGAAAGATGTTAAAGGAGAACTATGGGGTCAGGGCTTTTCCCCATAGTTCTCCTAAGGGTAACGGGAGGACACAAACTATCGTCCTCCCGTCACCCTAAGCTCAGTATACCGCGAGCCATAGCTCGCGGTATATTGAGACGCCGCAGCCGGGATGGATCCCGACATTACTGTCGAGATCCGCCCAGCTGCGGGTTTGACAGCTGGCTCTGCCTATCTAGAGACAGAGACAGCTGTGCCCGCCCCCGTCCGTTCTGCCAGTCAGCGCTGGAGGATCGGACAGGGGAGGGGGGAATCCCTGCAGGGAGCCGTGAGTGACAGTCACGGCTCTCTGCAGGGATAGATCGAGAAGTGAGCGAGCGACGGTATGTGTTCGCTCACTTTCCGATCTATTGAGCCGACCTGTGACAGTTTCATTGTCACAGGTCGTCAAGAACTATGAGGCTGAGTGATTTTCACTCGCCTCATAGTTCTCCTTTAAAGCTGCTCAAGAGAACCATAGATATTAGATGCCATATATTTCCAATGCCCACAGGGTCGAATAACCATTGTGCTCTTTGCAGGTACTGCAAAACTTCGATAGAGATATGCATGACTCACTAAGGCAGAGCCATGAGGGAATTTGTACTTTCAGCACAGCTGGAGAGCAAGGTTGCCTATAACTGCCTTGGACTAAAATGGATATGCTTCGGCCACCACAGTTAAGGGGTGTGGAGGAACACTACTGGCTTGGTTAGGAATTTTCAGATAGTGACCTAACATGCTGATGTCTACTGGCTTCTTAAAGCAACTTGGTTGATAGAGAGATAAAAAGAAAGTATAAAAAAACCCAGCCTTAAAAAAAAAAAAAAAAAAAAAAGACTTATACTTACCTGGCTTGCTGCCCTTCACACTGTTGCAGAACTACGGTGGTCAAAAAATATTTTGTATCTGACACACTGCCAAGTGTGTCAGATGCCTGGTCCCTATGACACACTCTGGTTCCATCCATCGGCCCCTATATCACTGATGTGCCACGGCACGCAGATGGGAACCAAGCATCCTATAATACTGGAAGTGCTCAATGCTGAAGATTCTTCTGCAAGCTTAGCTCTTCATCAGTGCTGAGGCTGGCAGGTGGCAGGAAGGGTTAGTTATAAGTTGTTTTTTTTACAACCTGGCATTTTTTTTACATTTTTTTATGTAGAGACAGATTTGCTTTAAAGCAAACCCATGCATTGCTCATGCAGGACTAAGCAATAGGTCTGCTGTATTGCCTCTGTCCCCAACAGTTCATACTCACATGTCTTTTGCTCAGATAAAGTGGGGTATGTGACTCACTTCCCTTCCTCTCATGAGACAGCCCTGGTGCTTAGTAATTGGTCTGCACTTAAGGTTGAGGAGACATGGAGCTTACATAGGGCTTCCTCTACTCAATATTTCCATAGGAGGAGGAGCGAAAGGACAGTATGAATTACTGGGGACGTGGCAATAAAGTAAACCCTTTGCTTGGCCCTGGTTGGGCTTTTCCGGTTTGCATTTATTGCACATGCACACTTGTTCCTTCTGTCCAGGCATCTGGCATGTATGGGTGCCTTGTTTCTCACAGCTGGATTTGCACTTTTTTTTGTGTTAAAAAGTTAAATAAAAGCCAAAATGAGTTCAGATGACACGGTCAACCTCAGACTAAGGTACTCACATGATCTCTGTGAAAATAATAGATTATTCTCAGGTCCTATCAGAGAAAAATAATTCCTAACTTGCCCCACCACCACGGTGTGTAGGACACTCTCCGGTGCCTATACTTACCCCTGACTTTCAGATGCCTGGCACTGCCTCCCTAAGTCAATCACATTAAATGGTACAACCTGCCAACTGGCCACTCTATCCCAAGCTCTGCCTTTCAGCTGAGGCAGGGGTTGGGTATCATGCTTCGGTACCAGGGCTTTAAGAGAGCTGATGGCGATCGGAGAGGCAGGGCAAGAGCAGTACAGGTATAGACTCAAGGGGGTGCCAAAGACAGGGTGGCAAGGGGGTTTGGGTCGATTGGTTTACTTTATGGCCTCATTCACACACAGCGCAAGAGCAAAATTGTATATTGCGTCTATGCGAGTATATACGAGCATATGTGCGTATATGCGTGCACTATTTGCATTCCCAGAATGCATCATTCCTAATAGAAATTTTAATGAACTATACGCACATACGCTCGTAAAATACGCAGAAATACGCTGCCCGGGCGCATCTCGGTTCCATTCTGTTTTTACGCTACGCAACTATACGGCTAGAATACGGTAGTGTGAATGAGGCCTAAAGGACCTCTGTCATAACCAATACAATATTCTGAAAAGGGTATTAATTAAATACATGATAGTACTTGTTATATACATTTCTTTTATTTTTCTCTACATTTACATGAGAGACCAAGCTCTCTAGCAAAAATGACACAATCAGGGGGAAATGCCTCACCAAGAACAGACTGCACTGCACATCACTCAATTCATTGGAAATCATTAGATGCGTATATATGGGTTTACAAAACCACCTTAAACACATCTAAACACATCTAGTCGCAGATAGTGTGATTGTAGCCTTAGGGTGCTTCAGCAGTTCCAGCAACAGCTTTTTTTTTTCTTTTAAAGATTATTTAAAACAAAACAAGGTAATTGTTGTAACTTTTCTACAGACATCTTGGTCAACATGTAACTGCAGGAAAAATGTAAATGAATGCATATGGAATAAAAGAAAGAATGAAAATACTGAATACTATGATTACAACTATCATCCCACATACAGGATACAATTGTCAGAATACAATTTTTAGCATGATTGCCGTTCTCCAAAGCTGACGCATTATAATAATGCCGTATTTAAAGCTGACCTTGCACTGGCAGTCTTTTCTTGTTCAGCCCTGCAGGATGGAGGAATACCCCCCCTACCAGGCTATTGCATTCTGACAGCTAGAACCACCAGCTGTCAGAATACCTGAACACTGATTGCAGCTCACTGGCTGTAGTCACTATTCGGCCAACAATTTTTGGCCAAGATCTACCAACAAGAGTCAATTGAAAAATCGGCTTTAGTCAAACAGTGGTGCCGACAGGGTCACCCACAGATTAAGTAAGCAGTATACGGCCTACTTAAATCTGCACTTTTAATACAGACTGTGATTTAGTATGTGAAATGCTGCCTTTCACCAAAACACAAAGTAAGATATAGATAAATATGAACAAATATACAATAAAATGCAGCATTTAGTTTCCTAAATATTGTTATGTGACTCCATGTATAACTATACTGTATAATACATAAGACTTTGTTATGGTTTATGAACCAGTCATTTTTTTGTTTTCATGCACAGAAAACGTTTACATGAAATTTTATTATTTTCCTAAATAAGAAATATATATATATACAAACCTAATACCGTGTTTTTTAATTTATCTTTAACTGTCTTTACAGATGACAAATGAGTGATAGCTGTCCAAAGTGATTTGATAAGATCAGTCTCTGATAGTTAGAGATATGTAAAATGCCCATCATCCATCCATCCATCATCTTTTAAACCTGCAATTAATGGCAATGGTTAGTATTTTCCAAATCAATCCCCAGTGACCTCTAACTATAACTATTAGACAAGACAGTAGTCTAAAGAAAAGAGTGACTGAGTCCAATGATTGGCTCAGATTGCTGTCTTGAAAGATCTTTCCTAGACAAGCATGGCCAGAAAAGCTGAAATTATTTGCTCATTTTTCATCATCTATTTTTACATTTTAAGATAATCAAATGATTGCGCTTAATCTGAGTGTCATTTCCTACATCTGGAAGATAATGCTGATATCTTCTAGGACCATCTCAGCTGCATTGTATATACAATCTTTCCGGAAGATAAGATTGTTAGTGTTTGAAGAAGAGCATTTGCAAATTTGGCAAACACTGCCGTCACAGGACACGTTTCCCAGATCTCTACAGAGAATCACAGGCAGGCCCAGACTGACAGTACTCCAACCCCCAGTAGGGGAGGTAGTAGTTATGAGCTGTTGGGAGCTAGTTACACATACACAGTATTGGGCCTCTTTCAGTACAGGACTGATCAGATGTGACATTAAGTGAC